AAAGATTATAATCTGTCCCCACCCGAATGATGAATGAATGTTGTGTGCTATTTTACTCTTATGTATTGATTTGTGTTTATTGTCTTGTACCTTCCCTTCCCTATTTTATGTAAGCCGCCCTGAGTCCCCTCAGGGAAAAGGGCGGCTTATAAATATTAATAAAATCTAAAAAATCTAATATTATAGTGTTTGATAGAGAGCCAAAATCAGAAAAAATTGAAGTGTATGTTTGCAGAGAAGAACTGTAGCATGAATTATATTGTTCTTAAATTGCATAGGGCCTTCAAATATCAGGCATGTATGTATGTATCAGAGGTGGGTTGCTGCTGGTTTGTCCTGGATTGGGTGAACTGGTAGTGGCAGTGGCGGGAGGCTCTGCCCACCCGCCCAGACGCTTCTGTGCATACACGAGCAAACCAATAGTAAATTAAATTGCAACCCACCACTGGTATGTATGTAGGCATGCATGCATGCATGCATGCATGCATGTATATATGTGTTTAGTAATTTTTTATTCCACATTACATTCAAATGATCAGGGTTATACATTGCATTCTCTTCCATTTTCCTCCAACAACCCTGTGAGATAAGTGGGAGCAAGAGATAGTGAAATTACCCATTAAAGTGGTTCAATACATTCAATACACTTGAATCTGAGTCTTCTTGGCCCATACCACAAAATCATACTCAATCTCTCAATGAGGACTGATAGGTATAACACACACTTGCTGGGATTGTGCAGAGTCTGAACTTTAAGCACTGGAATTAGTAGGGGTAATGGAATTCTTGTCCCTCTGCTTCATCTTGATCACATTTCTGCCTTGCCTTGTGACACCTGCTTATGTTTGTCTCCTGCAGTTCTTAATCGCCCCTTTTGCCCTTTGAATCCAGTTTACAAATCACTATGTTTTGACTTGATAAATTAGATTAATGGCTTTGCCTGGTGTGAATTTTTGAGATGGTTTCATTAATTAATGAAAGCCAGTGGACCAAGATATTAATGAAGCCAACCACCTTCTGAAGATCTTTTAGCATATCTGAACTTAGCAACAGCTCTTTCTAATATTTTTATACGGCCTTCCTTTTGCTGTAATTATGTAAAATGGAACCATGATCCTAGCTTTTTACTTTCATCCTTAGAATCAAGATGTTTAAATCCTGGTAGATAATATGCAGCTTTTAGAATGGCAATCTGAGCCGGTGTTTGTGATTAGGGCTACCTGATCTGTGTTACAAAAATTTGTATGACAAATAGATTTTTATAGCAAAGATACATGTGTGTCATTAACTCTTTGCTTCCACTTCATGGTTTTCCAAAATTTGGAAATCTTACTTAGTTCAGTCAGGTAAGTGTACTAGCCACTCATATTTATGATGCAAAATGACGATCTCCCAAGAGAGATGAATGGTTCAAAAATGGGATAGATAGATATTTTTTGTGATAGGTAGACAGACAGTCTGTCTGATAGATATAAGGAGGAATTGATAGTTTTCATTTAATTGTAGGGAGTTTTTGTATGTTCATCTATCCACCTTGTTCTTTTTTAAGAACACTATGTGTAAATGTTTCTGAGGTACTCAGGATGTGATCACTCTTCAAGGAAAGGTCCCTACTTTCCTTGAAGGGGATGGTTGGCATGCATGGTCATGCTTGCATACCACCTCCATGGCCTGGTCCCGACTGGGGGTTGGGGACCACCACTTGTAACAGAATCATGAAAATCAGAGATTTCTCCGTGTCCCATTTTATACTAAACAAATCAAGATGCAATTATCTTGGGTTCTTTTCTCATGCTTGCCTCAATCTTAAGATTGTGTAATCTTGTCTGATCTTCTTATCAGGACCTGTATTGGAAAGGCATTTAATTTAAGAATAAAAAGAGCCGAGGTGGCGCAGTGGTTAGGGTGCAGTACTGCAGGCCACTTCAGCTGACTGTTATCTGCAGTTCAGCGGTTCTAATCTCACCGGCTCAAGGTTGACTCAGCCTTCCATCCTTCCGAGGTGGGTGAAATGAGGACCCAGACTGTGGGGGGCGATATGCTAACTCTGTAAACCGCTTAGAGAGGGCTGAAAGCCCTATGAAGCGGTATATAAGTCTAACTGCTATTGCTATTGCTATTGCTCCTTTGCAAAAGCCATCTGGAAACTACTATGACTTAAATTGGTTAAATGTGAGGTTATATGCTAGTTATTTTAGATGTCTTAATAGTTGAATAGGAGAACAGGGAGCTAGTTTTACTAATTAAATTCTGTGAGCTTACATCTGAGAGTCTTTACTTAAGAAAAAAAAACTGAAACATGTCCCATTAAAAATAGGAAATCTAGAAATAGGGCAATGTGATTAATTTTCTGAGATGTAATTATCAACAAGGAATTTATAAATGGGTTGTCAACAAGATAAGAAAATAATCCCAATGTGGAATGAAACACATGATGTCAGAAAGGCATAAAAATGATGGGTTGATCAGGACAGAGAATGGTGAAACATCAAGCCGAGATATCTGAAGTTTGATTGAAGGGCCACAAATCAGCCATTTATAGTGCTTAAATTTAATTTCAAGGGACAGGACATTTGATTTGTCCCAATTTATTAGGAGTGATTGATTGATTGATTGAGTGAGTGAGTGATCGATTTCCACCCATCTCTCTCTACCAAGCAACTCTGGGTGCCTTATAATACCAATTTTGCCTACCTTATTTTAACAATGGCTGTTAAAAGGCTAGTCTTGAATAGGGGAGTAAAACTCTGTTGTTGGGACATTTATAACCCTGTTCCAATCCAGGGAAATTATCTTAAATTGCCAACAGCCATAGTGTTACTTTTGCCTACATTAAACCAAGGAAAACAAATTGTTGTACCAGGAAGTTTCCCTAATTTTAATTGTTGAATAAGGAAACAGATAGCAGTTCCAGTTATAGGATCCCCAAAGGAGAATTGATAGTATTAAAATTTACATTGTCTGTGTTAGAAGTCTGTTTAAAAAATAAGTTAAAAAAAAACATTTTTTAAAAAAAAAAACTGGGTAGGAACATTATACACCAATAAGGTGAAAGATCAGGAAAATTGTTTACATGAAATGAAATACTGACCTCTTAATTTTCTCATAAGAAAGACACTTTTAATTAAACCAATTATCTATATACTTCATTTTGCTGTTGGTTATTGCATTATAAATTTTAGATCTCTCAATCAATAATTTCTTAATTAGAAATGACTGTTTATTAGAACTATTTATAACATCTTGAGAATTCTTTTCTCAATTATGATAGGTTTAACATTTAGTAGCTTAAGAAGATTTAAATGAGCCAGCATAAAATCATTTAGACCTGGTGACAATTTTGATTTGACTACTTCGTTCCCATGAAACTACAGGGTAAAATCACTTAGTTATTCTTAGATCACATTTGGGAATTTAAATATGTGATTTTAGAGTTAATTTTTAAAAAACTGAACTAAACTGATATTATTTTGGAATGCAGGCAATAATCTATCACACTTTAATCTTTTCAGTGTCAGAAACCCCCTTTCAGTTCAAGAACTGAGTTCTATCTTTCCACCCTCTCATTATGACATTTGATTTTGCTATTACCTAATGACACTTAATGTTGTGTACTCACATATTGCTTTGGATGGCATTCTGTCTTCTATGAAATCATTTGACAATCTCAAGGAAAATGTTTGTGTAACGTGGATATTACATGAGTTAGAATTGATTATATAAGTTTTCAGAAATATCCAATAATCCAGTGGAATATGGATTATTTTATATAAAAGTAGATACGTAAAATCATACTGTAGTTACACTAAAGTCTTCCTCATGATATATTTTATGTCAGTAATAACATAATTTGCTACAATGCATACAAAATGTACAATCTTTTAAGGAAAATGGTTTAGTAAAATGCGATTGGAAAATTCAAAAATCGATTTATCTTTATATAAATAATGGCTACATCCCCAAATGGATTTATAAATTAATTGCTGACTTACTAGAATAAAACACTTCCTCTGTTGATAAGATTGATGTTATCTGTGTAAGTCCTTGCTCTAGCCCTCACTTCTCCTTATTTAGTTTATCACAGCTGGAGTTTTAATTTGCTGATCATATTAACTCTGATTAATAACTAAGCATACTTTCTTTTTTTACATCAACAGTGTGCCGTTAATGAGTGGAAGTGGGATTGGTCAGATATGCTGCCAAGTTATTTGGGACAAAATAGAATCACCTTTGGAACACTGCTAGCACACAGGTATTGAACTTACTGAAAGGGAAAGTTTTCTTAGAGTATGAGAAGCTTTGTGTTGTTTGATAAAATGTGAAACAATGTAAAAAGTCATTTTAACTAATGGACTAAAAGTTTAAATATAAAGATCTGTTTCTATACTGATGCTCATTGCATCTTCTTTGCTATCTTCCTTTTTGAAAAGATCCTTCTGAAAACAAGAGGTGGGATGTATTGTGGGAATGCTTTAAAATCCATAAAAACTTATATCCTTTCCTTACATCTGAAATTGTCTTTTAAATGCAATAAACAAACAAACAAATAAATAAATAAATGGCAGCATAGAAGAAGGATTCATGTGTAATACTATAAATAAGCCATATGGAAAGAATGTGTGTTAATTGAGTTATAAATGGTGAGAAAATTGTGAAAAGTACGATATTTGCATTATTTTCTTAAAGATAGGACTTTTTCATGATTTTATTGGAATTAATATTCACTTACATGAAAAGATGGCAGATTAAGAATGTCTCTAGATAATTTCTATCATAACAAATGACCATATAACTGATTTGTAATACGGCATGTTAAATAATTGTAATGAATACTATGAAGAGTGGCAAGTTATGTATTAGTGAAGATATTTTTTTTCTCTCCTATGCAGTATAGTACTAAAATAGAGAAGTATAGGCCTCACAAAGTCTCTTGTGTAAGAAGAGCTACAGCAGATTTCTGTAAGAACCAGCTTGTAATAAATTATGCTATTTGCAGATGAAAGAAAACTCTGATAGGTTTCCCAAAGATAGCCTGAAAGAACATTAGAGATAACAATAACAAATGAAAAATTTTAAATTACTATGCAATTTTGAAGAGTTGAAAATGATTTTATTTGAGAATTACTGAACTATCCATTTGATTTGATGTACAGGTACTCCTCGATGTACAACCACAATAGAGTTCAACATTTCTGTTGCTAAGTGAGACAGCTGTTATATAAGCTTTGCCCCATTTTACAACCTTACTTGCCACATTTGTTAAGTGAATCCCTGCAGTTGTTAAGAACATGATTGTTAAGTGAATCTAGTTTTCCCATTGACTTTGCTTGTCAGAAGGTTGCAAAGGGGTTACATGACCCTGGGACACTGCAACCATCATACATGACATTTGACAAGCATTTGATAAGTGACATTTGACATTTTGATCACATTACCACAGGGATGCCATGACAGTCATAAGTATGAAAAAGAGTCATAAGTCACTTTTTCCAGTGTTGTTATAACTTTAAATGGTCACTAAATGAACTGTTGTAAGTCAAGAACTACCTATACAATTTATAATTATAAAAATAATATAACTTGTCTAGATACTTTTTACTATTCTGAAATAACAATGCTACTAGTGATGATTCTTTAAAAAAAAGTGTGGCCTGCATTTGGAAAAACATGTTTCTTGCAGAATATATTTGTGATGGGTATATGTTAGGACAAAGTTGCAACATTTCTTCATAGTTCAGTAGATATATGGTTATATATTGCATCCAGTCACCTGTAAAATGTTAGTTGCACATATTTAACATGCAAGGGATGGGATAGGATGGAATAGAATAGAAAAGAATAGAATTTAATGGCCATTTAATTGGACACAAGCAAGTAATAAGTCATAGGTCATAATGTGTGTGTGTATGTCATATATGCATGTATGTTTGTATGTATGTATGTATGCATAACTAGAGACATATATATATATATATATATATATATATATATATATATATATATATA